CACTCCACAGAATGCCATTTCTCATTTTCCCTGCTCTCTACATATCATATGAGTGCAAGCACAATAATTTCTTTCAAATGAATGTGCTACAAGCTCTCTGTTAGCTGTAAAATATTTTCCCTTCCTTACAATAACACCCTAACCGGTAACCCCATACAATAATATTCTTGATACAGCTGTTTTTTTTACCAGGATTGACACTTTAGACACATGTGTACTGTTTATATCATCATACCTTTCCTATAATAATACACCCAGTATATTGGTCTACTTCTTACAATGGAGTCATTTATACGTTACCATCTCTGCCAGGGACGACGGATAAAGATAACGATACGGCATGCATGTCCATACACTCTAAATCATAATACTCCTTGTACAGTAGTATTCACTTTACAATGTCATGCTTAATATATTGATATTCCGCAAACATCCCCACTATTCACATAATAGTACTCTGGGAATGTTACCAGTGGGAGCGAATAAGTAATTCTTAGACAATACTCCTTCACGCAAATGTGTACACTTCCTCGAGCGGTACTCGCCCAATCATGCAGTTCCACACAGTATACAGCTATTAATATAATACCACTCCGGGGGTGTGGTATGAATTTGCAACTATAGTGTTTTCCCTATAATATAAGCCTAAACGGTAAGCCATGAAGTTTCAACCTTCTCAATAATCGTACTGTGGGGATATCCACAGTCTTAGCACAGGTGTGCATTCCAAGACACCACACTAGGGAGATATCAGTACGCTCACAAGACAGCGCTGCAGATCATATGTACTCCTTATACAACTATCCTGCTAAAAGAACAGTACTCTGCAAATATCAGCATAGTCCAGCCATTAATACCCACATATAACAGTACTACGAGAATTTCCGCATTCGTCAACATGGGAAATGGGGAAACATTAGTACTTTCTTGGCATATGGCCTCGTGGAATATCCATGCACTTCATAGAATATTACCCTACGAATAATGACACCCCTCGGAAATCAGTATTCTTGACACTATAATACGGTTAACATTATAGTAGCCCTGGCATAGCTCTACTGTTTAGACAATAAGATTCGAGACCAACTGTCGGATTTTCAGAATCGCCCAAGTCATATCATCAAGCCATTAAACCAACATGACGACCCTTCAAATAATGGTATTCCAAGGACAGTTGTACTCATCAGGACAAACTATTTTGTACATAACATCAGTGTTCTTCAAGTAATCGTGCAATTCACACATCCATGTGTCCCACAGAAGTGTACCTCCCATACGGAGGTACTACGACAACTTTCACAGGTTGCGTAACGGTGGCACCTTCTCATACGGCACAAAGCTAAGTCATGAATTTTACACCCCCCCTTATTTTACTTAATAATACGGGATTAACTTTGCCACTCATCAAATGGCGTCGTACCAGCCATATCAGGCATCTTTAGATATGAGTACTATACATGCCTCTGTAGTGTCCCCATAACAGTACTCCAAGTCATGAATACTCCTTCAGCGAATATCCTGTTCAAATGGAAGTATTATCCACACAAC